CCCCCCCACATTCCCAGATACCCCTCAATGTCGTCATTAAAGCCAAGTAACCCCTCCTCCCATATTCCCACATACCCCTCTGTAAACCCATGTTACCGCTCCCCAGACATTCCCGCACACCCCCCCAGACATGTTACCCCTCCCCAGACATTCCCCCATGGTTACCTCAATGAAGACAGTACAACAAACCGAAATACACAAACACAAAAGCCATAGTAAGAAAAAAACTGAACAACGAAAATATGAAGTAACCAAAGTAACTAAAAGAAATGGAAGCATGGTAAAATACATGAAATCTTAGTGGAAGCACGGAGTCGCACAGTAGTGTCAATATGAAAAAGAAAGAAAAAAGTAAACAAGAGGAAATATTATAAAAGAAGAATAACTAAAAAATAAAACCAAAAAAACAATAAGAAGAACGAAACCTGTGAAACTCTAAATGAAGAAAGATACACACAAACATCATCGGCGCGAAATCGAAGTCCTAGTCTACGGCGCATCGCACTGCCCGTCGTCTGTGTCATCATCGTCGATGATGCGCTCTCGCCGCCTTTGCGGCACCTTCGCCGCCGTCTCCTCTCCCTCCCCTGGATGTTGTGACGCAGACACGGCATGACTGGCAACTGCTCTGGAGGCCACCCTCTCTGCCTCCTAGACCTCCGCCTCTCTCTCAACACCCCCTCCAGCAGAACGTCCCAAAACGGCAGTCAGAGTCGTGTATGTCTTCCTACCCCTAGGCATGGGCACCCCATCCATCGCGGAATCCTCCGTGCGGCCCCCAGCAGCTCGACGACTGCCCGGTCCTGTACCTGTCTGACGTCGCGGCTCCTCATCCAGTATCCTGTGTGCAGTAGAAATACAACCTCCACGGCTCATCTGCAAAGTGACAGGATCAGGGTCATCCTCCAGCAATGCTGGGGGTGGTCGGGCACCTGGCAAAGCACGTGTGGAAGATCGCCCTTTCGGACGTCGATGACCATCTCGTTGTGCCGCACTTGCTGTGGGCGGTCGTGACGGCGGTGCAACCATCGTGTTGCCCCGTCGATCTGCAGCACACGACGACCCGGCACCAGGATGCTCCAACCTATCTCCCTTCCGTACCCAGCCTGCTGCGTCCGCAAACATCTCTGTCAACCTCCCCTCACGATCCCTCCTCTCACCCGTGACCTCAGGCATAGCATCCTTGAGTTTGCGGGTGACCCTGCTGATGCCGCTCCACGATACGGACTTCCCCTTCGCCTTCGATGAAGGTGATGGACAACCCTGCACCTGCCCGCGCCCTCCTGGCATCGCCGGCGCAGCAGAACCCTCTCCCCAACCAACACTCCCGCCCGAAAGGCCCGACCGTCCGCCGACAACTGCGGGACCACCTCCCCCGCCCACAACACTGCCACCAGACTCACCTCCCCGTCCACTCACCGCCCCTGCACATGCTGGTCATGTCCCTGCAGCAACTGGCCCTGCTCCCCATGATACCCCTCCCGGCTCGATAACCCTCTGACCTGTCAACTGCTCGAACAAGTCGGCCATCTCCATAATCTTCCCAATATCCCCCGATACCCTCGAGGGTGCTGGCGGACTAACAGGCACGAAAGAAGATGGAGGCACAACCTTCCAAAGCCTCTTCGATATATGCCTGCTCCTGCCCATCACTGGATCAATCCCAGCAGTGTGGCGCTCGAGTGGGGACATGCTGGGCACGTGTGCCTCTACAGGGTGTGCAACAACGTCCCCGAGGTCCACCTGTCGCTCCTCCTCGTTGCGATGTGCAACCATAGCATCCACCGCGACAAGACCATCCTGAGTGTCATCTGTGACCACATCCTCCATTGCGGCAACGGCAACGCCGACAAATGCTTTATCCACCTGCCCGTCCACCTCCGTGCCATCGCACCCAAGCAACCCCCCTGCGTCTGTATTGGCCGCGCCGTCGCCCCCGTCCGCCTCATCGGTAGTGGGTAGTACCGTGTCGCTGGCCCCACATAAACCACCCAACCCTACCCTCGCGTCCTCCTGGTGGTCGTCCGCACGATCCACCACGTGTCCCTCTGTGCAGAGTCCTCCACCATCTGCAACATCTGCAGGACCATCGTGTCTACACTCTGTTGCTAGTCTGGCGGCAGTGACCTCCTCTACACTACACCCCATCTCCCTCGCCCTGGTCGTGTCCTGCTCCAACGCAAGCCACTGTGTCGTGGCACACCCCGACACCATCCGTGCCAAACGCTCCTCCTCAAGCACGTCCTCGGGGTCCATATGTAGCCTCCTGGCAACACGACCGACGTTGTCACCAGTCCTACCCTCCTGTATCTCGCCTGACGCTCTGGCAGCCTCTGTCAACAAACCTGAACTAGCACCACCAAAAACCGACCCTATGAGGTGTGCGACTTCGCTCACCGGTGTCTGAACACGCACCTCACCGCGCCGAGCATCTGAAGTGGGTGGACGTTGTCGAAACTGGTGAGTCCCGAATGACTTCCCACCACTCGAGAGACTGTATATGACCAATTTGTGCACAACAGAGAAAACCGGAGGCAGGTATGCTGGAAAGAGCGGAAGCATGGGCACGAACAGTAGGAAGCCAGAGGCTGCCCAGAGTCGTCGGGGTCGCCAGACAAGAAATGAGTTGGCTAAGCAGAAAGCGGCAAAGGGACTGTGAGAGAACAACAGGGGCGACTCCTTCCCCAAGGACGGAGAAGGGCCGCCGAGAAGTCAGTAGTAGCATAGGAGGTGCGCAATAAGGGAAGGAAGGAAGTGGGAAGGGATAAGGCGCAAGGCGCTGACGCAACAAGGCGGCAGGAGGGCCAGGGAGACCGTAGGGTAGGTGGGAGCCGGCACCCGGAACAGGATAGCATACGGGACGCAATAGAAGCGGGGAGCGGAGGTTGCTGTAAGACAGAAAGACGTCAGGGCACCAAGGAAAGAAGTGGTACAGGCGGGGCAGGAGTGTCGGGGACCACATGGGATCGAAGGACGGGGCGGTACCAGCATGACAAAGCACCGGGGACCACGCAGGACCAAGGGACGGCGTGGTGACGGCAGGGCGAAGTACCGGGAACCGCGTGAGACCAAGGGAAAGACGTAATGCAGGCAGGACGAAGTACCAAGGACCACGTGGGCCTAGATAAAATGGCGGTACCAGTGGAACCACTAGCAGATTGGGTATCGGCGGAATAAAAAGTGTCAGGAGCCACCGACAGGGATTGTCGACAGAACGAAGAAGACGGGCGTGAGGCGGGAAAAACTGAGGGCACCTGGGGCAACCCAAGGGAGTCCTGGATCAAATGCGACGACAACATAAATAAAGTAGCATGACGACAGGTGGACGGGACCAGCCGGGCCGGGGAGTCCGACTGAAAACGTTAATTGCCGCCACGGCAAGCGCGGTGGGAGGTGCCGAGGGGAAAGAAAAGATGGAGTAGCAGCAGTAAGGGTGGGGCCGGCCAGGAGTCCGAGTATCCCGGACCAGCCAGGCCAAGAAAAACGAAGTTCCGAGGGCTCCACGTGGAAAAAAGGGCTGGCCAGAGAAAATCGGAGCAAGGGGGTCTCAAATTGGAGGCGGCGGCAGTAAAAAGGAACCCCTTTTGGCCTTGGGGGTGCCACTGCTGCAGTCCGAGGTGCAACGGCCATATGCCGGCTGCAAAATCGGACCTTGAGAAAGGTCCAATAGCTAGAAAGATGAGAAATAGTTGTTGGACGCTTGTCCCAACAGTAAACGAGAAAAGAAAGGAGGAAAAGGGGGGAGAATGAGACGAAGGAGGAGAAAGGAGTGGAGGAAAAAGTGCCACCACGTTGGGACTGCAGCGGTAGGGACTGGCAGGTCTCAATGATGACCTCATCCCTCCTAGATCCTAGGAGGGCAGTTCGGATTGCAGAGATAAGGTCCTTGGGGCATTATCTCTGCAATATCTGAATTTAAGCAATAAAAATAAAGAAAAATGTTAGTTGGCCGACTCATTTTTGGGCCTTAGATCTGAGATCTAATCTTGTGGAGGAGGAGATCTAGCCGTTTTTTGTGGGCTGACACAAAACGGCTAGCTCCGGAATGAGTTGGCAGCAAATTGGAGGTAAAACAAAGAGAGGAACAAAACAAAACTGCGAATTCGGCCCAAGGTGTGGGCCAGGTACATCAAAAAAATTAAAAATTGAAGCAAAGGCTCAAATTTGGAGCAAGGGGGAGTTTGGAGTGACTCGGAATGATGAGAACCATAGATCTCAGCTAGATCCAAGGCTGAGATATATGCCGCCACTTGGAAAATGCAACGGCCTACCCAAAGGAGGCCTAGACCAAGAAAAAGGTGGAAAACGGGCCTCTAAGCCCTCAAATTTTGGTAAAGACTGCATTTTGGGGTAGCGCTACCCAAAAGGCAGCACTTTTTGAGGTGAAAAGAGGTCGGGGTAGGCCAAGGGGTAGTCCGAGAGGGTACCAGCCTCTCGGACTGCATGTACCTGACCAAAATGAGGCCCATGTGACCCCGGATAGGCCAAAACCGAAAATTTGGCCTTTGGGGTACCCCGCTCCACCTAGAGGCACTTGGAGGGGCCTAGAGGTTGGGCGGTGCACCTGTTTCAGCCTACATAAGCTGCAGGTGTAGGCCGCCACTCTCATTTGAGCATGAGAGGTGCCCATGCTGCCCAAATGAGTCCAAGAAAGAGTCCGAGTGGGAGAGAAGCAAGGGAGTGAGGGCCGGAGCTAGCCTGTAGCCTGGCTATGGTGGTAGGGTTGAGGAAGGTGACCTAGAGGCTAGGAGGGAGCAACGAGAGTGGTCCGCCATAGCCCTCAGGCTGTGAAGTAGGAGGAGAGGCTGAAAGGGGTTCTCATAGCCCTTCTAGAGGGAAGGACTCCACAGCCTTAGAAGTAGGAGCCTACCATAGCTAAAGGAGAGGTGTGAGGGAAGGAGGAGAGAACTTGGGAGAGAGGAGAAGCTATACCCAGGAGGCTAGAGCCAAGCATTGGACCCCCACTGCCTAGAGACCAGCAAAGAGGTGAGTGAAAGAGGAGGGAGACCTCCTCCTCCTCCTCCTCCTCCTTCTTCTTCTTCTTCTTCTTCTTCCTCTTCCTCTTCCTCTTCCTCTTGCTCTTCTTCTTCTTCTTCTTCTTCTTCTTCTTTTTCCTCTCCTTCTTCTTTTTCCTTTTCTCCCCCACCCCCTTCTCCCCCTTCTCCTCTTGTCAAAACTGCGATTTTTGCTGATCTAAGGGGGGGAATGAGTTGCGGTTCACCTAGTGAAAGTTCTGTGATGTCTCCCTTTGTGTTGATGCTTCAAACTTTGAATTTTCACTGATTTTGGAGTCTGGATGAGTTGCGATTCACCTAGTAAAAGTTCCGTGATGTTTCCCTTTGTGTTGATGCTTCAAACTTTGAATTTTCACTGATTTGGGAGTCTGGATGAGTTGCGATTCACCTAGTGAAAATTCCATGA